TCTGCCTCCTCATCCTCTTCGACATATCCGCCGTCTTTGACACCGTGGACCACTCAATCCTCTGTCTTGTTGATGTTCAACTGTAGAAGGTTAGTTCTCATGCAGGACTTGATGTCTGACAGACATTCTGTCAGGACAGCAGTGGTCCTAGAGTCCAGGATGGAGTTAGAGAGATAGAGTTGGGTGTCATCCAAATACATGTGGAAATTGACCCCATCTCTGCAGATGATGTCACCAAGAAGGGGTATATAGATACTGAAAAGGAGGAGACTAAGGACAGAGCCCTGAGGAACTCTGCACGAGATGGTACGGGGGCTAGAGGAGAAGCTGTCTGTGGAGATGAAGTGGAGACAGTGTGAGAACTAGGATCTGAACCATTCAAGGGCAGAACCGTTGAGGTGAGAGGAGAAGCAGTGGACGAAGATAGAGTGGTCAACAGTATCGAAGACAGCAGAGAGGTCAAGGAGGATGATGAGGCAGAAGGAGTCCTGGTCGCAGATAGCCAAAATGTCATTTATCACTTTGACCAAAGCTGTTTCTGAGCTGTGCGTGGCACGGAAAACCAATTGGAGGGGTTCGTGAAGGGAGTGACAGGAGAGGAAGGAGCAAAGCTTTCAGGACCTTGGAAAGGAAAGGGAGGTTGGAGATGGGGTGGTAGTTTGAGAGCAGGGATGGGTCCGGGGAGAGTTTCTTAAGGACAGGAGTGATGACGGCTGTTTTTAGAGGAATGGAAATGGTACCATGGACAGGTAGAGGTTTATGCGAGTAGGGGGCGCAAAGAGGTGGAGCTGGAGGTAAGGAGAGGGAAGGGGTCAAGGGAGCAGGTGGTCCGTTTCATGTGTGTTACGGTGGTAATGAGAGAGGAGGGTGCGACAGCAACAACAACAAAATTCCATTTATAGAGCGCCTTTCATGTCGGGAGGATGTCCCAAAGCGCTGAACAGTCAGGTGTCGGGGCCCGAGCATGGATGAGGGGCGGTGTAGGGGTGAGGGAAGGCAGAAAGGCGGGAGGGAGACCAAAGGCATGGTCGAAGAGAAGGGTCTTGAGACCGGCCTTGAAGGAGGCAAGGGAAGAATCGAGGCAAAGGGACCGTGGGATGGAGTTCCAGAATGTGGGGGCAGAGAGGCTGAAAGGGCGGGATGGGTGGGAGACATGGAGCAGGCCGGATCCCACTGAACGGAGGGAGCGGGCAGGTTGGTAGGGAGTCAGCAGGTCAGAGAGGTAGGAGGATGGCCTTAAAGCTGAGGACGAGTTCACTAGTCTACCAAAAATTCATATCAACACATATACAAGATCATTTGTTATCCTGCCCAGCAAAAGACATGATCACGCAATTTCAGGTTGCACTATGTAGAGATCAGAACTCTAAATCTCCGCAGAACACAGAGATACATTTGTGAATCAATTATACAAGTTAAAATTTAGGAACCTTGGACATACCCCAACTTAAACCGTCCCGTTTGCTACTCAATCGGTAGCACTCTTGCCTCTGAGTTAGAAGGTTATGGGTTCAAACCCCACATTGAAACTTTAAACTGACACGCTAGGTTGACACTCCAACAAAGTGCTGGCAATGCTGGTAGTTGGAGGTACTGTTTTTCGCTGAACATAGTACTGAGGCCCAATCTGTCTGTTCTGGTGCACGTTAAAGATCCCATGGCATTACTGCATCTCTTGGTGTCCTGGGCAACAATCCCCCAAAATAAAATTTGTCATTCACTTAATAGCCTTAATAGTAGGACGGTGCTACGCTCAAACTGACTGCTGTGTTTGCCTACAAATACACAGTCCCTAAATTCTGTGAAGCAATTTGAGACATCTCGACAATGTGATAAGGTGGTATTCCTAAGAATTATTATATTTACAATATATCCTGCTAAACATTTCAGACATTCTCGCAATGTGAAAGGCACTGCATGAAATTCAAGGATTTCTAAAATATATTATTTATTTATTGCCTAAGGGAAATTTTCAGCAACTTGCATAATATCTTCGAGTGCTTCAAAGTGGCGGAGCTTAACGGCGAACCGGGGAAAGTGGGCAGAGTATTGCTGGCATGGTCAAAAAGGAAGGTTTCAGATGCGATGTGAAGAGGGGAAAGGAGGGCCCAAGACGGAGGGATTGAGGCAGAACGCTCCAGAGTTTCTGGGTATAGTGGCTGAAAGCACAGCTACCAGGGAATGAGGAATGTTTATTTGTCAATCCCAGTTTCAAAGAAAGAAATGAGCATTGTCAGTGGTGTTACAATAATCCTTATACAGTGGAATCCACTTCTTCCGGAAGCCGGTTAACCCCAGATCTCGGGTAACTTGAACAAAATGGCCAGCCTCGATTCAGTTATATTCTCGCCTGTTTTTAAATATGCTGGTTGATTCAGGTGTAAATCCGGTTAATCCGGGCAAAATGCTGCACTGATCACCGCTGAATGCACTAACTCGGGCTTTCTGTGTCTTCCATTCAAGCCAGGATATAGATGGGAGGAATCAATTTGTGATTGACAGCGGACTCCAGCCATTCACAAACGGCTGAAGTTACGTTGTCAATCAGTGAGGGGGGGGCGCAACGTTATTACATATGATTATGCGGGGGAGCCACAGCTTCCCCTGTATTTGGTGTTGTGTCTTTCATGTCAGCACGTTGTCGCAGAGTGCTTCATAACAAGGAAGTGATGTTTCAATTGGACAGGGCCTTGGTCAGACCCCCTATGGAGCACTTTGTTCAGCTTTGGGCACTGCACCTCAGAAAGGGCATACTCGACTGGCTCCGGCCTCCTGTTGTGACCTCCGTTCCACCACCTGTGGCCCGCCTTCCGCCATTACACCCCGAAACTCTGGAACACTCTTCTTCTATCCCTCTGCCTTGCCCCGTCCTTTACCCATCTTCAGGTCATGCCTGAAGACCTTCCTCTTCAACCGTGCCTGCAGTCACCTCCCCTCCCACTCCACACCCCACTCTCCCGCCACCGGCTTAACATTTTGCATATAAATGCAAGTTGTTGTTGTTGTTGATGATGATGTTTACGACTGAATTTGCACAGAAATTACAGAGTATGCTTCAGTGGATGTTTACTGTATTTGCTGAGCTTTACTGTGGGTGGATATTGATGACACTGAGTGCTAACTCATTTTACCACTTAATGGCATAGGACAGTTCCCACAAAATATAATCAGTCCACTTTACACTATATGTTATAGGAACAAGAGTTGGCCATTCAGCCCCTTTAATCTGTTCCACCATTCTATCAGATCACGTCTGAGCTGTACCTCGGCTCCATATCGCATGATTCCCTGACCTAACAAATATCTATCGATCTCTGTCTGGAAAGTTCCAATTGACACCCATAGCTGTTTGGGGGAAGAGTATTCCAGACTGTGTGGGAAAATATGCTTCCTGATTTCACTCCTAAATGGCTAAGCTTTTATTTTAAGATTATGCCATCTTGTTCTGGATTCCCTTATCACGGGAAATAATGTTTCTATATCTACCCTATTGAGTCCCTTTAACATTTTGAACACCTCAATTAGAACACCCCTCAACTTTCTGAACTCCAGGGAGTACAAACCGAGTTTATCCAACCTATCCTCATAACTTAACCCTTTCATCCTTGGTATCATTCTGGTGAATCTGCACCCAACTCACTTCAGGGCCAATAGAACCTTCCTGAGGTACAGTGTCCAAAACTGAATGCTGTACTCCAGTTCAAAATATTAATCGCAAAATATTAAACAAAAGTATGTTTGAAAATTCATCTCACTATCACTGGCTTCTTCCAGGCAAATAATTCATCCAATTTGTCCCAAAGACCCAAAACAGCTAACCATTAAATTCTGTTGCATCATTTCTGAGTAAAATACAACAACAAGATTACATTTATGTAGCGCCTTTCACGTCAGGAGGACATCCCAATACAAAACCCATTTATGAGAATGCATCAAGTTTGGCAAACCTAACCAGACACTTTCTACATGACAAATTAAGTAGGTACGTCAGCAGCACTCAATACCAATGTGGGAAGATTTTTGTACTAAGAAGATTGTGTAACTAGTTATAAAAAGACAGGAACCAGGGTTGGGTTGTTGCACTGACACATGGGGTTTCTACTTCATTCCACGACTGTTTGTTGGACACTGCTGTTCACAATTGGCTACCACCACGTTTTGCCCACAAAATATGTTCTGTGAAGCGCTTTGAGACGTCTCGAGGAAGGGATAAGGCGCAATATCAAATGCAATTATTATTTTCCCAACTGCTGAGTTCTCAATCTTTGTTAAAGTGGGGATAACTGAAGAGCAGAGATCAAGTGCTCCCCAAAGGGGTGGGTGGGGGGAGGAAAATATATAGCAGTTTTAGTCGGGTGCTCATGTGCACTTTTCTCAGTACAATGTCCAAATTGCAAGTGTCCTTTCAGCTTGGTATACTGTGCGATACAAAAAAAATCAACTTGGAGTAACAAATACACGCGAAAGAGATGTTAGGTCAAAATCTAAATCGAATCTCAATTCTGAGAATCCACACGCATATAACCAGTAAACTGAGAGAAAAAAAACAGACCTGCTGAAGAATTTGGCTGTGAATCAACCTGCCTATTCTCATTTCAGAGTTTAGTATGCACAGCTATTGCTGAAGAGCTGAACGTTAAATAGGTTAGTATATGCAGAGCGGATATTAAATTCAGCTGTTAGCTGCTTAATAAAATGGGTGCATTGAACTGAAAGTCTAAGCAAATCCAAATGTACAAGTGATCAATAAAAGCACTTGAGTCATCTCGACTTTAATCATCGTTGTGCAGTGCTTAGATAACTCTATATTTGCAATACGCACAAAAATAGGTGCAATTTGTCTCAGTAATGCAAGCAATCACAACACAAAACACAGAACATGAAAAGAAGAAATCACAGGTATAAAACTGAGATAGCAACAATGATGACAAGAACAGGAAGATTGGGGTGAAAGAGGGGCAAGGGGAAGAAATATGAAACAGTGATATGCGTCTACACACCTTTGCATTCATATAAGGGTCAAAAGGGCCATACTTTTTGAGGTCTTTGCTCTCAATAGTATTCTATGGGGGAAGGAAAGAAAATGCAAATGAAAAATAAGGTTACACTGGAAAAAAAGATGAATGAACTGTGATAATGTAATGATAGTTTAAACAGTTTGCAGATAAACAGTTAGAAATTAAGATAATGGGAAAAACAGAAGATCTTGCCCTGAACTTCATCAAATAAGTTCAGCTCTATTTTAGATTTTGGCCTTAAAATTTTGAAAAGACAAAGCTAAACCATTTGGACAGAAATAAAATCATACACAACGAGTGATGCACACCAGAGATCAGAAATGGACTATACAATAACTTTCATTCTCCAGTTTAACTTAAAATGCTTCAATTTTCTTCACGGACTCAGCTCCCAAAAGTAGCTATTTGTTTGATCAACCAGCAGTCCAATTTCGTCGTCATTTCTGGCAACATAATTTTTGTATATTTTAAAGGTTTATAATCTGATCACTGCTGCTCAATATTAAGTATATTCACAAGGCTGGCATTTTCTTCAGACCTAGAAATAGGACTCTTAAAGCAGCAGCTTTCAGTGAACTGAAAGCTTAACTGACTGAGCAGTTTGTATCTCTCGTGTGCATCCCTGCTACAAACAGAACAGTGAACAGTTTGCTTTTCTTATTCACCAGCAATATCATCACTGGGACAAGACACGACTTCTGGATTCTGTAAAAACTGGTACCGTATACATGCCAATTTTTTTCGAATAGTGTTGTGGTTTTATACTTAAATCAAAGCTGAAAGTATCTTGCCTTGGCTCACTTCATATTCTGGTGTAATTTTTTTACCCAAATGCAAAGTATATATGCACCAAAAACTTTCAGACCAGTTTTTACAGCAATTGAACTGACCAAATTAATCCAGATCAAACTGAAACTTGATACGTATTCAAAAGTGACCTGAAAAAAGGGGTCAAAGCTTTCGATTTTGTTGACATGGCAGCACAAGCATGTGTACACAGAAGATGAAGCAAAACTATGGAAACATCATGCAGGCAGGCATAGCACATACAGCACTTGGTGTGGCAAGGTCATCAGCATGCTGCACCATCACTTAAAAATGCCAGCCGCTGAGCACTGCAGCCCATAGCCTGGCCAGGCCATAGGACTGGGTTTATCGTACCTGATAACAAAGTGAAGCAGACCATTTCAATACTAGTAAAATTCAAAACATATTATACTGTACTTTATCATCTGTGTGCCACTACTTGTCAACTAGTACACAATGGCCTAGAACAAGGCAATTTAGGCAACTTTATCACTTCTCGAAAAGGTTGAATTGGCTAATGTCACTTTTAATCCGAAATTAACAACATTCTGAATCGCTCTGACAAATAATCATCTTATTTTAATAGTTACATTGGTCCAATAGTAAGTAAGTACTTCAATTATGGATTAAAGGCAACTTAAAGTTGTGTATGCTAAGTTTTAGTAACATTTAAACATACCTACATCAAGTAAATATTGTACACAACAGTGTTTATTCAAAACTCACAATGTCCACAACATTCTCGATCTCCAAATAAATCAAAGCAATTCCTTTCAAATGTCTAAGAACTAGGCACGCTGCGACCCATTACTGACAATTGTTCAGTGCTGTCCAGAGACCTGACACCTCAGTGTAATGTTTTGTTTTCACAAGTTTCGTAATTCAGCAAGCAATAAGAAGTAAATTTAGGGATCAAATGAGAACAGAAAGCCAGTTGTAATGCTATTATGCACCAATTTTCTCTTTGAATAAATGGCAAGAAACAGATCAGTTCTCTGGTTCAGTACCAGTACCATTTTACTGACTCCTTGAGCAGGAAACAGAACTACCAACAAAGACATCTACCAAGAATAGAACATTATCACAAGAACGATTTGCCCCAAAACAAATCAAATTTCTGTAGCAAAATGAAATGAGATTTGTCAAGGTTTAGTTTCAATAGCCCTTTAATGAATTTCAAAACCAAATGATGATCTCCTAAAGAACCGGATAGAAAAATGGTTTGGAATATACAAATAGCTGCATGAGTTCTGCTTCAAGCATAAACCTGACACCACATCACCAGAGAAAGGTTGTGAGGAAAACTATATAAGGAAATCCAATTTAGGAGTCGCTCTGGATTTTCAACACAATGGTAAACCCTGTTTCAAAGTCTTTCTCCCTCAATAGTCAGTCCAACCATAGGTTTGGTAGGCTTCAGTAAAGGATTTATCCTGACAATTTTGAAGGATGATGAGACCAAGCAGGGACTGTCACATCGAAGTCTGAAAACCTTGGTGCCTTGATCACGGAAGGCAAACTTTCTGTTTTTGTTGTCAATGCTTGCTCACTTGTGAATTTCACACCAAAATTTTGTCGGTACAATGGGTCAGTCAATTCAACCCGTCAGTTAACATATTTAGTCATTATTCCCCAGAGTGACAGCACATTTCTGAAAAGCAAGCAATTTGTCCCACTCCTTAAACCTTGGTGATGTTTCTCAGAATAATGGATCTTTATTTACTTTGAGCAAGAGGAAATTTCTCCTACATGCTAATCCAGAACACAGAGTAAAACACGCCATTAGCCAATCTAACTTCCCAAAATAATATTTTGGCACATCATCTAACCCTAACCCTACCCTAGAATAATCCTAGAACAAGCCTGGGCATAGCCAAGTGTGCGAGGACAGTGAAGCGAATGGAGCTGGTCCAGGACACACCCAGTACTTCAGTCATCAGAGGTATGAGAAGAAACAACCTGATGGGCATGGAGGGGTCAGGGGAAGGGAGAGAGAAGAATAACAATCTGGAACTATGTGGAGGAATGTATTATGTTTGAAATTAGACAGATTGAGGAATGAGATCATTCTAGTAATGCTAACATTCCACCCTCAGGCTTTTCTCTCATTTAAGATTCTTGGTGAAATTATTTCCTTTCATTTCTTTTGATGTTTACTGCATTTGCTTGAAAAGGTTTCATTAAAGCACCACCGCAGGCCATTGATTATTCTTTCTGAAGCACTTCCATTATTTTTTTTAACCCAAAATATCTAAAGGAAGTATTTTTATAACTTCTGGGTTCTGTTTTTTAAAAAAAATGAAAAATAACTGCCCAGGGGCATCACTTCATTCTGAGATCTCATTTGTGTGACAATGTATTAGTTTCCAGGGTTAAGCTCCTATTTAAATGAAAAAATACATCCGCTATTATTGCAAGGCATTTTCAACTTCTGATTCTATTAACTAAAACCAATTTTTTTTTTGAGTGACACTGTTCTAGACCCCAGCGGTCTTCATAGGTTTGGATTCAGCTGAATGTTAATTGCAAAGAAAAAATTTAAATTGAGATAAGTCACGATGGACAACAATCTTAAAATCTTAAAGTACGTACTCGCTGCTCCCCACTCCCACAAAACCCTCTAAAGATTTCAGACCTGCTCGTTGACTTTTGCATGGGAGGGTCCTTGATGAATAAGAAGTTTGACAATCTGTGCATCCCCTTTCCACGCAGCCAAGTGAAGTGGGTAACATCCTTTGTTGTCTGCAATGTTAGTGGAAGCTTCATTCTTTAGCAGCATTTCAACCACCTCCCTGAAGCAAACACATTTTAAAATTTGTATTACTACAATCTTAAAGTATAAACTGGTAGAAATCAACACTGAGGTGCAATATCAAATACAAATATCATTATTATAAAAGTACACCTTGATTTTAAATAACTTTCTCTCTCCTGGTATCCTGGTTAACAATCTCTCAAATAAAATTGGTCATTCACTTCATGGTTGTTTGTGGGACATTGTTGTTCACAAACTGGCTCTCATGTTTGCCTACAAATACATAGTCACTACACTACAAAATAAAATCCTGTAAAGTACTTTGATTTCTTGACAGATTAGGATTATCACAATTATTATTACTTTCTAACTGAGAGAACAGGTGAAAAGTAGCTCTGGATGTGATATATATAGATTCTCAGGAGGTTTTTGAGAAAGAGTCATATAAGAGGTTTTTAAACAAAGTTCAGGGTAATGGAAAAGTGGTTGAATGGATAGAAGATTGATTAAAAGATAGGAAATGGAGTATATGGTTGGCATTCAGAATTGAAGGATGTAAATAGTGGTGTCTCCCAATGGTCCACGCTAGAACAATTTTTTTTCTCCATTTATATTAATTATCTGGATTCTGGTAAAGACACATCATTTTTACATTTGTAAATGACTCAAAAACAGAGAGAGTAGCCAAACGGTGAGGAATACTGCAAGCAACCTCAGGATGCTATAGACGAGTAGATTGGGTAGACGAATGCAAGATGAAATTCAATGCAGTAAAGTGTGAGATTATATATTCTGGGAGGAAGAACGGAAGGGCAATTATAGACTAAATGGTAACATTTTCAAATGTGTAGACGAGCGGAGACCTAGGGTTAACACACATAAATCTTTAAAGGTGGGAAGGCAGATAGACAAGCTGCAAAAAAAGCTAATGGATTCTAGGTTACATGAACAGAGGCATGGAATATAAAACCAAAGAGCTGATGCTTGAATTCTATAAATAGCCAGACTGCAGTTAGAACATTGTGTCCAGTTTTGGTCACCTCACATCAGGAAAAATTTTTGGTCAGCTGGATGTCTGAAACACACGGAAACCCATTACTGTGCTTAAGAGTATCCAAACCCAAGCTGAGATTTACATGCATCCCACCTACACGTGGCAATCCTAGAGGTAGATTTTTGGAATGGATTGCGCATTCTTTCCCTGAAGGGATGCGTCCTGCTTATCTAATTCTGGAAAGTATTAGGCGTAGGTTGGCAAGAGCCAAGGCTTGGGTGTGTGCGTTGGGATACTGCTTTAGTTTATCATAGAATCATAGAACCCTTCTCCCCCCCCCCACCCCAAAATGTACTTACTTTTGTCCATTTAGAGCCGCGTGGTGCAGTGGGGTGTATCCAGAACTGTCAACACAGTTAACATTCGGTCCTCTCCAGATGCTGGAAAGAGGAAAAGAATTCTTTCAGAAAATATTTGTGTCCTTTGTTAGCAACAGCGGTCTTCACACAGGCTTATTCCAAACCTTCATTTCTTGAGATGCTTTCAGGTATAGCTTAACAGCATGTAACAACTTGCATTATAAAGCATCTTTCATTTTGGAAGCACAACCAAGGGTTTGCACCCTAGATGGGGGTGGGATACAAGGCTGGGGATGGGAAGGTGACCAAAGGCTGGGGAAGGGGCAATGCAAAGGGATTCAGAGGCGGAGTTCTTGAGATTGGGGGCAGAAAAGCTAAAAGCGTGACCCCATTGTGGGTATGGACAGCGCAGAGGATGTGAAGCAGGTCAGTGCCCGCAGAGAGGAAGGTAAGGGCTGGTTGGTAAGGTTTTAGAAAGCACGATGGGGCAAAGTCATGGAGGGCTTTAAAATGAGGACAATAATATTGAACTCGATCATTTGGGGGATTGGAAGCCAATGTAGTCAGGCAAGAATGGGGGTGATAAGCTCATAGAGCCCAGAGAAGACGAGCAGCAGAATTTTAAAAAGTCTACAGCTTGTGAAGAAAGAGTTGGGAAGACCAGAATATTCAACACAACCCAAATACCCAACTCCACCGAGTGCACAGACATTATCCTAGTCTCAGTTGCTAATCTCAGCTTTATTACAAAGAGGCACACCAGATGGACCTCCACTGGGCCCATTACACATCACAACAACCAGCAAAAAAGTGTTTCGCCCAAAAATATACAGTCAATTCACTTTACAGTATATTCTGTGAAGCACTTTGAGACGTCTAGCAGATGTGAAAAGCGCTATATCAAATGCAAGAATTATTATTATTATTAGCCAAGGCTTTGAAGCATACTGGTAACTGCTCTATTGCACGAAGAGGCAAATGCTAGTAAGAAGAAAATTAGAAAAAAAACATGTTTGATCAGGCATACCCTTTACATACAAAACAGCTTCTTGTATTTCTATAGCATCCTTCATTCAGTTAATGTCTTGGGAGCACTTAACAGTGGTAGAGCTTAACACCGAGCCGCGGAAAGAAAATAGGTATCTGTAGGCACAGTCAAAGAGGAAGCAGGTACGATCAGAAGAAGGGGAAGGAGAAGGCGAGGGGCAGGAACTGAGGCAGAAAATTCCTGAATTGTGGGGCGTAGTGGCTGAAAGCACAGCCAGTGATGGTGGAGCAGAGGGGATGAGAGACATGTGGAAGGCCAGAACCAACTGTGCAAGCGTAGTGGAGTAAGCAAGTCGGAGAGGTCGGGAGGTACCAGGATGTGGATTGGTTTGTAAGCAAGTGTAAGGATCTTGAAAACAGTTCGTTCTGCAATAGGAAGCCAGTGGAGCCTGGTGAGGATTGGGATGATGTGTGCGCGGAGTTTGATATGGCTGAGAATACAGGCAGTGGAGTTTTGGATTAGTGTATTTTGTAGGTGGGGGAGCGAGAGAGGGCAACGGAAAAATTGAGGTGAGAGATAACCAATGTGTGAACGAGTTTCAGCTGCATTGGGTGTGCACCTACGGTCAGAGGTGGATGACGTGGCAGTCTTGGTCAGGGACCAGATGTGGGATAGGAGGAATAACTGGAAATCAAACCTGACGTTACACAAAGGTTTAGTGAGTTTGAGGGATAAGCCGGGGGGGGGTCAGGAGGTTGGAGCTGCAGGTGAGAAGATGTTGACGGGAGACAAGAAGGATGGCCTCTGGGTTGTCAATATTCATTTGGGAGAAGGTTAGCACTCATCTAGTCCTTGAGGTCTGACATGCAAGAGGACATCAGTGGACCTGTGAGGAGGAAAAGTAGATTTGGGTGTCTGCATACATGTGGATGTTGACCGCATGTCTGTTGATGACAAGAGGAAGCATGCAAATTAGGAAAAGGGGGCCACAAATAAGAGTCTTGGGGTACCCACATGTGACCCGCTGGAGGCGGGAAGAGAAACAAGTTTGCGGAAAAGTAAATGTATCATGCAAAAATCATTATGTAAATATATGATAGAGTACAAACAAATCAGATAAAGACATTCCACTGTATTAGAGCTTCTCAAAAAGCTCATTAGTTTACTGCATTTCAAGTATGATCTACACTAAAATTCGCAAGTCTTATTTTTATAAATCACATAATGCACCCAAGTCATACATGCACCCAAGTCCTCTTCAGTTTCCTATCAAAACCACTTAAATTCCTTTGCATGACTCATATTAATCACACCCTAACTCGTAACGCGGCTCTCTCGATTACCCCCGCACTTAACATCTGCAATGAATCGCGGGAAATAACGTCCTGACCGGTCGACGTATGCGCACCTACTGGTCAGCTGCATCGAATCGCTGGAAACGTAGTCTTGATCCTTCGCCACGTGCACAGAACTTCATTTCCTGCGATTCAATGCAATTCTGATGCTTACCAGTAAGTTAGCTTCCGGCGATGGGCCAAGATGCATTGAAGTTGAAGGAAACAGTCTTGACTCGTCATCTGATGTGCACTTACCGGCTGCAGTGTCAATCTCCTGCATGTGTATTTAACATTTACCGGCTGCAGCAAATTACACATGCGCAGTATAGTTTATTGATTAAATCAGATTGTAGAAAAATAATATGACTTATACAGTTTGCTTGGAACTTGGACTTCAGTAAGTCATATTAAATATGATGGTCCCGAGTGATTCAACTTATGTTAGTTATACTTTGTCACCTCAAGGCTGGACTATGGGAACTCTCTCCTCGTCGGCCTTCCTGGCACCTCCCTCCACAAGCTGCAGGTCATTCAGAACTCTGCAGCTCGTGTACTGTCCCGCACCAGACACCGGGACCACATCACTCCCACCCTCGCTCGCCTCCACTGGCTCCCCATCCCCCAGAGGATCGAATTCACCATCCTCATCCTCACCTATAAGGCCATCCATGGCCTTGCTCCCTCCTCCCTCTCCGACCTACTATCCCCCTACTTACCTGCCCGTACCCTCCGTTCCTCTGGCTCCGGTCTGCTCCACATCCCCCGCCCTAACATCGGTGGCCGGGCCTTCAGCCTCTCAGCCCCTGGGTTCTGGAACTCCATCCCCCAGTGCCTTCGCCGCTTCCTCCCTTTTCTCCTTCAAGGCCGGTCTCAAGACCTTTCTCTTCAACTGTGCCTTCAGCTCCCCTCTCGACTCTCTACCCCCTCCTCGCTCCCTCCCTTCCCTCCCCTCACCCTGAGCTTTTCCCCCCTGCAGCGGGTCCCGATCCAATTGTCCAGCGTCTTGGGACGTCCCCCAGACGTGAAAGGTGCTCTATAAATGCAATCTTTTTGTTGTATCTGCATCCCACTCCTTACTGAAAAGTAAAATTCCTTCCCCCAATTTTATGCACAATTTGCAAGCAAAAATGGTGGGTAGGAGAAGGAAGGAAATTTAAATCAGTCAATTTAAAGTCTGTTAGCCGAGACTGTTGTTGCTCAGCTACCAGCTGTTTACAGATCAGTATTGGCAGATCTGTAAGCCCTGTGGGGGTGGAGGGACCAGCTGTACACTTCAAAAGAAGATATTCCTGAACCTCTGCAAGAGCAATGGGTTATATTGTGCTGTGATTTCTCAAGCTTTAATAACATTATTACACATTATGGTTTAAAGAAACAGAATTGGATCTTCCCCACCCCAGAACATACAAGAAAATATGTTCTGGTTTTGTGTTTTTAAAACCTCCTATGGAGTAAATCTTCAAGCCATTGTGCTGTGCTGAGGTAGCCCATTGCTTTTCAATGAGACCAAAGAAGACACATCAAGTGGCCTTAGAGATGCAGGTATGTTGGGAGTTCTCACTCAGGCACCAGACAATTAGTGCTAAGTTATTTAAAAACATGTTTTACTTCAAATACATAAGGGTATCATCAGATCAATGCACAAAGTTAAAACTATTTTAGGTCCTCAGTTACTCTGGAACATTCATGTATGATGCAGGTTTCATTCAATATAACTATTGCATTAATATTGGCTGTGATTTTTTTCCCCTTCAGTGTCACACAGCAAAACACAACATTAGAGTGCAATGTTAGAGAGCCTAAACCAACCGAAACATTTGCCCATTATTTCAAAAGATGCTGTAAACTCCAAAAAGTTAATTTTACCCCGATCTATAGCATTGTCATGTAAAATATGTCACAAAAGTACCATGAACATTTCGGCCACAAAACATATAGTCAATTCACTCCACAGAATATTCTGTGAAGAGCTTCGAGACGGCCAGAAAATGGGCAAATAAGGCCCCGTATCAAAGCAAGGATTATTATTATTATAAAATGTTTCCAGTTCAATGGGTGTTTAAGCCATTGCCATACACAGTCTGTCCACAAGGTGATGCTGTGGCTTACTGTGTAAATAATAAGCTGAAAGCCCGTTTTATACTCGTTTTGGAAACACCAACTCACTTGCATAAAAATATCTCCAATGAATACAGCCAGTGTTTTTGCCAACTCTGGCATTCATGAGAATACCGATACTGTTTTTCTTTAATTAAAAGGAGGTCCATTTAGCTCCTGACCGCAGCAGCTCGGTTTGCAGAAGCATGGTTTGCCTTTGTGGGAAGTTTTGAATAAGCTGATGTTCTTGCAGTAACTTGCTGAGGGAAGTCTGTGCAAACACCATCAGATTGGCTGCTGTAGTAAGCTTTTACTCCGGCAGATCTGCATCCACAAACTCAAGGTAGACAAGTGACAGGAACTATAGGCTTTTTCTCAGTGCGTAACTTCTGAGAAGATTTATAGGGTAACAGTAGCAAAAGAGTTCCAATGTACAACTCAACAACCACAAATAATTGCATGTATATAATACCTATTCAAAGTCACTGGACATTCGAGGGTTTGTATCTGAGCTGGGGGTTGGATTTGTAGAGGTAGGGGCTAAAGGGGTGGGAAGATGACTGAAGGCACAATCAAAGAGGAAAGACTTGAGACAGATTTTAAAGGAGGTAAGGGAAGGGGTGGGGGGACAGAAAGGCTGAAGGCCTGACCGCTGATGC